TTTAGTAGAAGGGCCTTTTGAGGAGTCTTCAAGCATTAGACTTGTATGGGCAGACAGGGGTGTGGACTTCTTTTGACAGGAGGGTTAATTTCCATAAATGGAGGATTGGCTTGGCAAACTGTAAGAAAATGAGTAGACAATAGCATGGATAACAACCAATTCATGCGATCAATGACTATTCTGAATAGATCAGATTAACTATATCAGATTTAAGAAAGGATATCATGCTCCCTATTTTTAGAGTATAAAGGACAAACAGAAAAAAGCACGTGAAAAAGTATAATTGTCGTATTTAATAAATGTCTCATAGAATGGCATTGTCAAATTATAGATAATGAATAGGACAGAAGTTCAAAAGTAAATAAAAAATTTTTGAAATTTATCCAATGGGCAAGCAAAATATATTGTTATAAATGCTACCAAAATTTCCAATACAATTCTAAATATGGAATTTCTTTTGACAGGTAGCGGGTATGTGAAACTTCACAGAGGGGAGAAGAAAGAAATTAGATTCTTCCATATACTTCATGATAGTCTTTCCTAAGAATGATTACCCCAGATACAGATTTAAAAACTCAGATGTAAATTCCTTGCTTTATTTTATCCTGGGTTTAGGAGTGAATTCAAACAACATAACTGGTCAAGAAGTAAAGGACAGTTCATGAACATAAATGTGTTTTCAGGATAAGACTAAATTAAAATCAAGGAAATTGTGAGATGGGAATTTTCCATGTATAATGACATGGAATATGGTGTATGAATATGATATCAAATTTGAAATAAGGAGTTCCTCAGATTCAGTCAAACATTGCTTCAAGTGAGCTTCTCCAAACATTTGCTACAGACAGATTTATTGCCCTGGTGAAGCAAGGTCCGATTTCCTACTGCTGATTCTGCCTACTCCTCTGCTTTGTCACTTTTCCGCTGCCCCGTCTTCTGGGGGGATTTTCTTGGTATTTTCACCTTTCATGCTCACCGTCCTGTTCCTTTTTTTTTTTTTTTAGAGGTATTATTTATTTATTTGAGACAGAGAGGGAAAGGGAATGTATGAGCAGGGGGAGGGGCAGAGGAAGAGGGAGAGAAGCAGACTCCCCTCCCTGCCATGCTAAGTGGTAAGCCTGATGGTGGGGCTCAATCCCAGGACCCTGAGATCATGACCTGAGCTGATATCAGGAGTCGGTTGCTTAAGGTACTAAGCCACCCAGGTGCCCCTGCCCTGTTACTTTCAATGCTCATTTTCTTCTTCCTATTCTCTATGCCATGTGTTCTTGGTCTTCCCCTAGACTCTAGTTCTCTTGACTGTCATTCCAACATCTTCTTTTGCTGGAGTTCTTTTCTTCAATCTCCTCAGACCCTCTGCTTCATGCTCTTTCTAGGAGTTCAGTTCCTCCTGTTCACCAGTTGCTCTTCCGACAGCAAGGGAATCAGATGTAAAATTCAGATCTGGCACAAGACCAAGATTTGATGTTTAGAGGACATTCCCTCATAGTGGAATTGATCATGACAAAGTGATAACGTTTACCACAAAATTACCTCTTCAACGTAACTACTTTCATGTGGTATGTCCCTTCACTTCTTCAACATGATGTGGGAATAATTAATTGCCTGTCACGGCATATTATAAACATCATCTAACACTGTCACTGTTGATCATAATGCAAACTTAGGATGCATGCTGGTAGCCAGCAGAAGCAAGGAGAGGCTAGGATGGATTCTCCAAGACCCTTCAGAGGAAGAACAGCCCTAACACTTTGATTTTGGATTTCATACTTTTGGCCCCCAGAACTCTGCAGGAATCAATTTCTCATTTTGAGCCACCAAATGAGTGCTGATTTGTTACAGCAGAGACAGAAACGAATATATCAAGTATGTTTGAGGGGAGAAGATCCAAATGCAAGGAAGTTCATTCTCCTTTCCCTGGACAGAACTCAGTGGGTATGAAGACCACAGGGCAGAGATGGCTGCATAGGTTGGCTGAGCCCATAGCCTGGGACAGCCTCACAGAGCACCTCACTGCTCTGCACAGTACAGGGACAGGAAAAGTTCCTGAGCCCCTGAGGGTGCCATGGAGTCATGACAGGTCCTAGGAACTCCTAAATGTTCCATGGCCTCTGGTGCCACAAGTATAGCTGAATTCTTCTGAGAAGCACACAGGAATTGGCTGATAAAAGAAGAGCTAAAGGAGCCTTACTGTCAGGTACGAGGGATGACTGCTCTGTCACAGGACGGGACCAAAGTCCAGAGACTGGACAGGACTTCTCATTGAGGGTGGATGGTCACCCAGACCAGATCTCTAATCCACAGAGCCTGGTTAGCTCAGGGCGGGAGGTAGAGAAAACCCAGATAGACAGAGAGGAAGTTCTATCAGCTGGAGGTGAGGGGCATGGCACAGACATCAAGTTTATTTATAGTTGCAGAGCATAGAGGAGCAACACACAAAATCTGGAGCTAAATTGCTTGGATGCCAATCCTCAGTTCATCATTTATTAGATGTTAACCCTGGGCAAGTGGTTAACTTCCAGTGTTTCAGTAAAATAGCGATAATAATCATGCAGACTTCACGGTGGTTTTCTGTGTGTGACTATTTAAGAACTTACTACAAATAAAACACCTAGATAGAGCAGGTGTTCCAAAGCTGTTTACTGCCGTTAAAATGGCAGTTGCCTTAACAATAAAGTAACACGTTTTGCACACCTGAATCTGTGCCCCGAGACTCACCGAAGACACTTGTGGGTCTTTCTAGAATTTCTGCCATGTTTTAAGAAGCATTTCTGTGCCAAAGACTACTAAAAGCCATAAGATAAGAGCTATGACCCAAACTAAGAGAATTGGCATAAAGGTGTAAGGTAGATGCTCTGAAGTTATGTTGGGTTCAGAAACCTCTGAATATCTGTGATGAGACAGAGTTTGAGAGAGAACTTCAGAACGTTTCCAGTTTCCTGGAAACTGTGCTACCCTGTGTCTACAGGGTAATTAGCAGAGGCTAAGGGGAGGGGAGGGATGGAAGGGGGGAAGAAAACTAGGGAGAACCTGGGAAAGGACTCTGACAGAACTCAAATCTCTGAGTCTTAGCTGAGGACACCGGAGAGGAAGGGGCTTGAAACATAGAACTAAGATCCCCAGTTAATCTCTTAATTTCAATAAAAGTGGAACGTTTTCCTGGAGATACAGGAGAGACTGATGAGGGTACACTGGCTGTGAAATCTGAAGAAGGCAGAGCAGCATGTCCCCTACTGAGCCCCACAGGGATGGGCTGGGGCACCCATGAGAGACTGTAAGGGGCTTGGTCTGGATGGGGGGATTGGTAAGCACGTCATTCAGAGTTTAGAGTTGTGTGAACATCCTTTTTCCATGATGAGATAGATGGCCATTTCATTCTAGAAGATACCTGCACAGACAATCCCAATCTATTCCTGTGGAAGCGAGGCAGACTACATAGCCCCCCGGAATTTAGCTGTAACCCTGGGAGAGGAAAGTGGGAACCCCACATTGACTGAACTTATGTTTATTGCACCCCGTGACATGAGGCTCATGGGGGAATTAAAGGTCAGTTACAGAAAAATCAAGAAAATTGCCTTCTGTGGTAGTTGAGATCTTTACCTGTTAGTAAGTATGTTTTCTCTACCTCCATGCATGAGTCATAGGATAAAATCTAAAATGATTTTTGGGATGTACAAAGCTGTGCACAATTTTTGAAACTTTTCCCTGTTCTTGACCTTAACACCTTCCATTCATCCTTCTAAACCTGGCTCTAAACATATACCCTCAATGAATTCTATTTACTCATCCCAGTTATATACTAATATTGATGTCATTTTTCACTTTACACTTTTTACATGTGTTAATTTTAACGTGGAGCACAGTGAATTGTTACTGTTTTATGTCTGTCTCTCATATTAACAGGGATACTCCCTTAAGGGCAGGAGATATTTCTTGCTTATTTTTGTATCTTCAAGACCCTGATACAAGTAGATGCTTAATAAATAAACATAAATAATGCACACATGAATAAGACTTTTTCTGTAGAGACCTTTATATGTACAAAACATTTCTTGTATTTTTATTTTGCTAAGAATCTTTTAGTAATAAATAATTGCTGAATGTTATATAATTTTTTTGCATTCCTCAGATACATTAAAATGGTGAGTTATGTTATTTTACTTTCTTATGTTAAAGTAAACTTCCATTCTTTGTATAGACTCCAATCATGATGTATTATCTTCTTATATATTTCTAGGTTTGGTTTGTTGAACTTTTGTTTAGGATTTTTGCATTTTTTTTATATGAGTGAGGTGTCCTTTTCTTTGTGTCTTTCACATGGTCCCTGTTAGGTTTTAGTATCGGACCTATTCTATATCAAAATATGAATTTTAAGTGGAGATTATGAAATACAAATTTCTTCTCTCTGTTCACACTTCGCACTACAGGGACTGCACCTGATTTGGCATGACTTGAGAGATGGGATTTGATTGTGCTTCTTGGGAGTTTTTATCATCAACATCACAGAGTTTTGTGGGGGGCGGTAATAAAAGGTAACTCATAAAAAACAAACCACACATTTATTACTAACTGGCAAAAAGGAATATCCCCTGTATCAAGACCAGGTAATAAAAGATGTCTGATAAGTTGCAGGACAAAAAAAAAAAAAATCTCCTATGGTAAAAGCAAATTTGCTACAGACTTACTTGAAGTAAAATTCTTATTGGATTTAGAGAAATTGGTTCAATTAGATGCTAAAGAGTAAAAATAAAAATGATAATGATTAATAATTGCTAGGATTTATTGAGCATTTAAATTGAATATATTACTTCATATGTTCAGAGATTAAAATTAATATGAATATGTGACAAGCCACGGAGATATTATCTGATAACTCTGACAAAGGTAGGCAGTTGTAAATGACCTTCTCTCTGCCTTTGGGAAATATGAAACTGCTCTATTTGGTGTGACTGACCAAGGGCAGAACTTCTCTCTGTTTACCTGCTGTTGGCGGCAGTACTATGAGCACCGACTCATCCCCCCCTGCCGCCGAGCAGCTCTGCTACCAGAACATGAGCAGATCCTGCCTGAAAGCTCCCTGCTCGCCTGGCCCCCGGCTGATGCTCTACACGCTGTTTGGCTCTGGGGCTGTGCTGTGTTTGGAAACCTCCTGGTGGTGATTTCCATCCTGCATTTCAACAGCTGCCCTCTCCCACCAATGTTCTCCTGGCCTCTCTGGCCGGTGCTGACTTCCTGGAGGGTGCGGTGACCATCATGCCCTTCAGCACGGTCAGGTCCGTGGAGAGCTGCTGGTACTTTGGGCCAAGTTTCTGTACCTTCCACACGTGCTGCGATGTGGCATTTTGTTACTCTTCCCTCTTCCACTTGTGCTCCATCTCCATCGACAGGTACCTTGCTGTTACTGACCGTCTGGTCTCTCCTAGCAAGTTCACGGTGTCTGTGTCAGGGATATGCGTCAGCGTCTCCTGGATCCTGCCCCTTGTACACAGTGGTGCCTGTTCTACACAGGTGTCTATGATGATGGGCTGGAGGAATTATGTAGTGCCCTCAACTGTGTAGGAGGGTGTCAGACAGTTGTAAATCAAAATTGGGTGTTGATAGATTTTCTATCCTTCTTTATACCCATCCTTATTATGATAATTCTCTACAGCAATATTTTTCTTGTGGCGAGATGACAAGCTAAAAAGATTGAACGTACTGGAGACAAAACAGAATCGTCATCAGACAGTTACCAATCCAGAGTGGCCGAGAGAGAAAAGCTGGGTATCACAGTGGTAACATTTATGATTTCCTGGTTACCATACAGTATTGACTCATTAACTGATGCCTATATGGGCTTCATAACCCCTGCCTATATTTACGAGATTTGCTGTTGGTGTGCTTATTATAATTCAACCATGAACCCTTTGATTTATGCTTTATTTTACCCATGGTTCAGGAAAGCCATCAAAGTTACTGTGAGTGGTTGGATTTTCAAGGGCAGTTCAGCCACCATGAATTTGTTCTCTGAACAAATGTAAGCAATTGGACTGAAGAAGTTAAAGAAATCTTTACAATTTCCAGATGAAATGAGTTTTTGCTCTTCAATTTTAACAGGATAAATCAATGTATTCCAGTCCTAACTGTGCACTTCCTTGTCACTTCTCAAAAAATATTTATACAGCTAGTAAATGTCAAATTCCTATTTGTTATTTGCTGCAGAGCTCACCTCATTCCCTGCATACACTTCCCTTACTCCCTTTTGCTCTTTTATTCCATTGATTCTTCCCTTTGTTACCTGAAAACATTTTTTAAAAATTTTCTTTCCTCTTTTCCTTACAAAGTTTGTACTCCCAACTTGTCAAAAATTTCTCTGCAATTAGCTTTAACAGGGTTGTTGCCTTATTTGTTTGTTTTGCTTTGTTCTTTCTTTTCTTTTCTCTTTCTTTCTTTCTTTCTTTTTCTCTTTCTTTCTTTCTTTTTTCTTTCTTTCTTTCTTTCTTTCTTTCTTTCTTTCTTTCTTTCTTTCTTTCCTTCTTTCTTTCTTTCAGCTTGGCTTTGCTTTTTTCCCAAGGGAAAATTTGGGGCAACAGTTAAATCTATTATGCTTGATGTCTGCATGGTGTTTGTGTCAGGAATTTGCTTCAGCATCTCCTGGATCCTGCCTCTTGTTAATAGTGGGTGAGATGAAGGAATGAGTAAGTGCCTTCTGTTCCATAGATGGTTGCCAGCTTGCTATCAATCAAGTTTGGATATTGATAGGATTTCTATCATTTTTCACATTTAGCTTTCTGTAAAGGTGATTCTGTATGGTAATATTTTTCTTGCGGCTAGAAAACAGACTAAAGAGATTGAAAATATTAGTACAAAATAGAATCATTATCAGGGATTTGCAAGACTAAGATAACTAAGAGAGAGAGAGAAAAGCGGCTGATAGCCTGGGTGTCACAGTGTAGCATTCTGGGTCTCATGATTACCGCATGCCATGGATTCACTCACTGATTCTTCTTTGGGGTTTATGACACCTGCATATGTTTATGAGATATTTTGCTGTTTTGCTTATTGTAACTCTGCTCCAAATTCTTTGATTTATGCTTATTTTACCCTTGGATTGGGAGAGCATTAAAACTTATAATAAGTGGCCAAATATGAAAAGACAGTTCATTGACTCTAAATTTGATTTCTAAATTAGCCTACATTGATCATTTGAAAAAATTGTCATTGATCTGGTGATATATTGGAAATTTTCTGTCAGATTATTTCTACTAAACACTATGCGGGGTGCCTGGGTGGTTCAGTCTGTTAAGCATCGACTCTTGGTTTAAACTCAGGTCATGATCTCAGGGTCATGAGATCGAGTTCCGCATCGGGCTCCATGCTCAGTTTGGAGTCTGCTTCTCCCTCTGCTCCTCCCCCTGCTTGCGTCTGTGTTCTCTCTCTCCCTCTCTCAAATAAATAAATAAATAAGTAAAATCTTTAAAAAAATAAATAAACATTATCTGAAGTTTATACATTGTCCCTGATAAAAAAAAAATAACACTGTGTTGTAAATTATGGGGAAAGGGTGGGTTGTTCAAGAAATGTGGATGAGATATTCAACTTTCTGGAAAAATATTGGTAAGCATCTTGCTTCATATATTTCATAAGATCAAAACTGATCTCTTCCAGATTAAAAAAAATTAAAGAAAATGTAGCTTTTATAATTTTTCATGAGTGAAATCATAACAGAAAACCCACAGGGATTCATGCATTCAATTTAAATTTTTTAACTTTATTTATTTATTTTAAGAAATAAATTTTTAATTGATTAATTGTTATTATTTTTTAAGTAGGCTCTGCACCCAGTGTGGAGCCCAACACAGGGCTTGAACTCATGACCCTGAGATCAAGACCTGAGCTGAGATCAAGAGTTGGATGCTTAACTGACTGAGCCACCCAGGTGTCCCATGAATTTTTTAATCTTTAAAAGAAAACAAAGTCATGTTAAAGAAAAAAAGACAACATTGAAAAAACTATTGGCAGCATACATGATGAAGAAAGGTTAATAGCTTTAAAAAGGTAAAAGCCTTTTATAAAACAGTAAGACATAGACAAGCATTACACTAAAGAAGTCGGTAACAATTTTACAGAAGGAAAATACAAATGAATACATTGAATGCCAAATATATGAATAATCAAAAATGCTAATAAAAATGTAATAGAGTTTCATATATCAAATTAGCAAATATTAGAAAGATCAATGATACCCAGCCTTAATTAGAGTATGGGAAATTAAACACCCTCATAAGAGTTGAACATACTCATATACATCTGGGACAGATATAATTTAATTTCTCCTTTCTGAAGTGAATTAAAATATTTAAATTAAAATTTAAATCATACATGTCACTTAATTGCTACAGTTCCATTTCTAGAAAGTAATCCTAAAAAAAGAGCCAGGCAAGGAAGCAAGAATGACCAGGAAATTCTTTGTATAACTCTTAATTATTAAGTAGAAGAAACCTAGATCAAGATGGGTTAAATTAAATAAATTGTGCTCCACCTATGTAGTGGAAGGTTATGAAGTCATTAAAAAGTGCAAATGAGTTCTGTATAAACTGACATGGAAAGACAATCACAATATACTTTTTGATTAAAATCAAAACAAAACCAAAAAACCCTAACCCAAATTATGAAACAGTATATGTAATCTGGCCCTCATAGGTGTATATTTCTATATGCTTTTACAAAGTTTAATTTAATGTATAATGGACAATGTGTGTGGGGCACCTGGGTGGCTCAGTTGGTTAAGCGTCTGCCTTCGGCTCAGGTCATGATCCCAGGGTCCTGGGATCGAGCCCCACGTCAGGCTCCCTGCTCAGGGCGGGGGCCTGCTCCTCCCTCTCACTCCCCCTGCTTGTGTTCCCTCTCTCACTGTGTCTCTCTCTGTCAAATAAATAAATAAAATCTTTAAAAAAAAAATAATGGACAATGTATGTGTGGGCGGGGTTTACTTTGCATTTTACCTCTTATCATTTTAGTGTTTGTGATGAAATAAATTTATTAAAATTGATATTCAAACCTACATCTCTATTATCTAAACATTGAAATTAGGTTTCTCAGTTTGCTTCCTTGCTTTATTTTAGGAGAATATCTTTTGCAAATATGTACTATATGTTGTCTAACTGAACATAATAATAAAAAAAGAGAATATGTATCTGTTATATTTTTTCTACCTAATGAAACTAAATTGCAACTGCATTGTATATTTTTGGGATTATATTTTCAAGTGATTAAAGTATATTGTAGGGACACCTGGGTGGTTCAGGTGGTTAAGCGTCTGCCTTCAGCTCAGGTCATGATCCCAGGCTCCTGGACTCGAGTCTTGCATTAGGATCCTTGCTCAGCAGGGAGCCTGCTTCTCCCTCTGCCTGCCACTCCCGCCACTTGCGCTCTCTCTCTCTCTCTCTCTCTGACAAATAAATAAATAAAATATTAAAAAGAAATAAAATAAAGTATCTTATAAGTCACACCATGATGTTAAGTATGTTTTGTTGTTGTTGCTGCTAAGTATTTTTAATATTTTTGCAGCAGGTGGTTAAGATCTTCCAACCTTCCCCTCTAATATTAATTATGTGCTGTATTCAGGGTCTGTGAAAACTAGCAAGAGTCATTTTTTCACCTTCCCTTGGTGTTCTATTTCTACTTTTTAGGTCATTTCTTGAAAAGTGATAAGCAGAGACAGTAAATGTGTTGGGCATAAACCCATCCTCTAGGACAGGAAGCAGCATCCCTAGAGAATCCTTGTGCAGGGCTGTGAATCAGAAAGCTCTGAGGACAAATCCTGGCCATGTGATCTTGGACAACTTACCTAACCTCTCCCGGCTTCAGATCACATTATCTCTAAATATGCTCTAACTAAAGCAATATTACCCACCATATGGAGCTGTAAGTAAAGATAAAGAAGGAAAGGACTTATTTATGGTTAGAACTCAGTAGCATATAATAACCAATAATATAAAATGACAGATAAATAGAGTAACCATTAACAAAAATAATAAGAACAAGTGCATGATCTTTTCTTCTAACTTCAACTTCACTTCTAGGAAGTGATTAGAATTATCAGTGCTGGCACTTAAGCTGGATGAGGAGGACAGTGAAGAATCCCAGCAAGTAAAATTAACAAGTCAGGAAACGACAGATGTTGGCAGGGATGTGGAGAAAGGGGAACCCTCCTACACTGTTGGTGGGAATGCAAGCTGGTGCAGCCACTCTGGAAAACAGTATGGAGGTTCCTCAAACAGTTGAAAATAGAGCTACCATACAACCCAGCAATTACACTACTGGGTATTTACCCCAAAGATACAAATGTAGTGATCTGAAGGGGTATGTGCACCCTGATGTTTATAGCAGCAATGTCCCCAGTAGCCAAACTATGGAAAGAGCCAAGATGTCTATCAACAGATAAATGGATAAAGAAGAGGTGGTGTGTGTGTATATATATATAATATATATAATATATTATATATATAATATATAATAAATGGAATATTATGCAGCCATCAAAAAGAATGAAATCTTGCCATTTGCAACAATGTGGATGGAACTGGAGGGTATTATGCTGAGCGAAATAAGTCAATCAGAGAAAGACATGTATCATATGACCTCACTGATATGAGGAATTCTTAATCTCAGGAAACAAACTGAGGGTTGCTGGAGTGGTGGGGGGTGGGAGGGATGGGGTGGCTGGGGGATAGACATCGGGGAGGGTATGTGCTATGGTGAGCGCTGTGAGATGTGTAAGACTGATGAATCACAGACCTGTGCCTCTGAAACAATACATTATATGTTAAAAAAAAAAAAGAAGAAGAAGAAAAGAAAAAGATAGCAGGAAGGGGAAAATGAAGCAGGGGAATCGGAGGGGGAGACGAACCATGAGGGACTATGGACTGAGAAACAAACTGAGGGTTCTGGAGGGGAGGGGTGGGGGGATGGGTTAGCCTGGTGATGGGTATTAAAGAGGGCACCTACTCAATGGAGCACTGGGTGTTATGCACAAACAATGAATCATGGAGCACTGCATCAAAAACTAATGATGTACTGTATGGTGATGAACATAGCATTATAAAAAAATTAAAAAGTCCTTAAAAAAAAAAAGAATCCCAGCAAGTGAGAGGTGAAAAGTTACTTATAGCTGGTTTTTCTAGAACAAGTGAGCCTGAAAGGCAGGAGTCAGTGGTCAGATACACCAACTGGAGGGATTTCAGATTTTGGTACAAGTCCAAATTCTGAAGTCCCAAAAGCTAGAACACTGGAAGATTGTGTCAAATTAATTTGGTGACAAACACCGACATGAGGTCATTTCATGTCTATTTCTTACCACTCGGTCTGAATATTCATGCTTTGGCGCAGAGACAGTATTGTGTTGATTACAAGTGCTTCAGAGACTTCACTGTATATTCCAAATTTATCATGGATGTGCCTTTTCAAATTAAAAAAAAAATTTGGTTTCCAGAAGTCCCAGGGGTTTCGGATAAGAGACTATAGCCCTATAAATGACAAGTCCTGGGTTACAACCCTGTGAGTGAGAGATGGAAGAGGGGTGGAGAGGATTTCCAGCACTCAGGAGGCAGCTCAGCCCATGGTCCAGAACATGGACCCAGGGTCCAGTCTGCCCGGGCTAGAATCCAACTCTCCCTAACTTCTCAGCCTCCCGATGCCTCAGTATTCTCTGCTGTGAAATGGGGATAGCAATACTACCTTCTTCATGGAGTTATTCTGATGATTATAGGAATGAATATTTCTAAAGCATTTAATAGAGCAAGTGTTTATGTTTTACATACTGTGTATCTGGAGAACAGTACTGGAGAGAGAGACAGAGTGCTGGGGAATAAAATTCATGGGAAAGAAGGGAGGAGGCCCCTGGAGTCTGTGCTTAGCAGTACTGAGGAGGGCAGAGGAGACAATCTAATAACCTTGGGGTTTTAAGGAGGATGGAGGGAGAATGCTGTCATACCATGAGGAGGAACAAGGAAGATGCCCTCATCCTCTACCTGCTGGGAAGCCCAGTCACCAGGTAAAGGCCAGGCTTCTAAAAGGTGCAGGAATCCACACAGAAGGAAACATGTCTCTAATGTTATTTCTCAATATTTATGCATTTTGGTCTTGCTTGGAGACGCAGCCTGGGAACCACACTAGAATGTGGCAAACCTCTCATTGGTCAGAAAAAATGAGAAAAATAAGAAAAGTAGGACACGTGTCTCATGAGGGAAAATTTATTCAATTTACAGGACTGTCCTTTATTCTTAGATTATATTCTTCTTCAGCTTTTGATATTAAAACATACTTATATGAAATTATGGCCAAGTACCTAAAGGTTGTCCCTGGTGCTGTTACTGATTTGTCATCATGTCCTTAGTTGGCAGAGTTAAAATTTAGCAATCAATTTGTTTAGTTTCCCCAATTTTTAAGCCAATTTTATTATTTCTGATCCAAATTTCTAGACACCATTATCTTGACCCATTAGTATTTTTAAGAGCAAAGGTGGTATTTTTCAGCAAGTAAACCTTTTATTACACCCTCAAAACAACCTGGGCAGCATCTGGTCAACTCTAAGCTTATTAGAGACAGTGAAGTAATAATGACTGATAATAAACCTGACATGATCCAATGGAAATAGATGTCTAAGGAAATCAACCTTCTAGAGAAAGCAATATGAAATGTCTACTAAGAAAAAGAATTCTTTTGCAGTTTTCCTTTTTTTTTTTTTGCTACATCTTTTAATATTACTATCAGAATCTAGGTTATTTTATACATTCATATTTTGGGTTAGTCTATAAAAAACAACTAGCCCAGAGGTGAGATGCCATGTAAATTGGACGCTTTTCCTAAAGCCTCTAAAATTCTTGCACATGTATGAGTCTTCCTATCTTGCTCATAAGACCACCTTGAGTAAATGTATTTGCATCAGATAAAGATCACGGTTAGGCAGGAATCATGTTTCTCAGGGGTTATGTTTTCTAACATCAAGAGCAGGACTTGGAGGCAAACTTTTGATTATCTTGCACCATCCAAAGTTTTCGGTCTCTTATCTGCACTTGACAATCAGTTTGCAAGTTTTGAACTTCTCAGACATTCCTAAAATAAAAGTTCATTAAGTAAACCATCTCCCCAGTGACTCAGAGTGTGAGACATTTCTCATTATCAGGGGAAAAGATGTGTTAATGACCTCTGCGTTCTTTCTGTGGCCCAAACACAGACATTTGTTAATGAGAGGAAGGTGAGAGAAATGTTTTGTACTCTTGTCTCTTTAGACTGCAGGCTAAAGCTAACCAAACACAAATCAGAGTCAGAGTGTTAAACTGTAAATGAACAGTGGTTGGCATTGATAACACAATCAGCGTAGCTAATCGACAGTCTGAGCAATCTGTCAAGTTATTTATAACTGAATCCGTTCTCATTTTGATTCGTCGCATAATTAATTTGTGTTTAACAAGTATTTCTTAGAAATGTGTGTTAACTGCTTATGGAAAACTTTGGAGTGAGAAATAACATGAAATTAATTTTTCCCCAATCACAGCCTCTAAACGTGCTCTAGCAAATCTTCCTTCTTCATTCTTTCATTAGATCTGAGACATATCTATACAATCACTCTTGAGTGTTAAAAATTCAATTTTACTGAATTCAGTTTTAAAAGTTAAATAATTCCATTTTTAAACTCAAGTTTAAAACTTATAATCTAGGCGGCGGCGCGCGCTGCGGGTAGTGAGTGTGGAGCTCGAGCTGCAGCTGCTGCCGCCGCCGGAGGAAGCTTGATCCCCGCGCTCCGGACACCCCGGCCTCGCCATGGCTGACCAGCTGACTGAGGAGCAGATCGCAGAGTTCAAGGAGGCCTTCTCCCTCTTTGACAAGGATGGAGATGGAACTATCACCACCAAGGAGTTGGGGACAGTGATGAGATCCCTGGGACAGAACCCCACCGAAGCAGAGCTACAGGACATGATCAATGAGGTGGATGCAGATGGGAATGGGACCATTGACTTCCCGGAGTTCCTGACCATGATGGCCAGAAAGATGAAGGATACAGACAGCGAGGAGGAGATCCGAGAGGCGTTCCGTGTCTTTGACAAGGACGGCAATGGCTACATCAGCGCTGCCGAGCTGCGTCACGTAATGACGAACCTGGGTGAGAAGCTGACCGATGAGGAGGTGGACGAGATGATCAGAGAGGCCGACATCGATGGAGACTGCCAGGTCAATTACGAAGAGTTTGTACAGGTGATGACTGCCAGGTGAAGGCCCCTGGGCAGCTGGTGATGCCCATTCTCGTGATCTCTCTCTTCTCGCGCGCGCGCTCTCTTCAACACTACCCTGCGTTCCCCGGTTCTAGCAAACACTAGTTGATTGACTGAGAATCTGATAAAGCAACAAAAGATTTGTCCCCCCCCCAAAAAACTTATAATCTATATCTAATTGAATATACCTGTCCTCATTATTTCCAGCGCTAGCCAAGTCTGGACTTAAAAAGTCTGGTTTTAGGGATGGGGCATGTCTGATTTTTCATTCTTTATCCCATCCTCCTTTTGTGCTCTACGCCATAGGTAGCAGAAGAAAAGGAGCACAATACTTTTCTACCGAATTTGGTCTCCTCATAACCTTTGCTTAATGGTCATGACCCTTGTGTTGTGACGTCAAATACTGTCCTCTCATGCAGTGCATATGTGGGTCCTTTGGGCATCCCTGCAGAAGACCTTCCCATCCCCAGTTCCCTGGTCTTGTGGTCTGTGCCCAGTTGACTTTTCCCAACATCCTCCTCCAGTGGATGTGTCACAGACTCTCGGTGCACCCTGAAATGGGAGACCCACGGGAAGGGCCACACCTGACTGGCTTCCACATGTCCTCTAGGCCACATGAAGCTAATGCATTGGTGCCACCTGAATAGGTGACAGGACAGGCTTCTCCTCATGCTGGCCTATTTCTCCTCCCCGCCATCTTCTTCCAACTCTGCTTTCCTTTGCTCAACATGGAGACAGGGCAGGTCAGCAGGACTACTGAATAAGCAGATCTAAACAGGGAATTGGTTTGAAGCATCTTGCCAGTACCGTCTTCAATGGAGAGATTCCCTGGATGAAAGAACCCCAGAACAAAGTCTATAAGGTTTCCCTTCATGGAAAGACTTTAAGGAGGAGTTGGAAAAAAAAAAAAAAGGAGGAGTTGGAAGGTCAACTGGAATGGATCACCTCTATCAGGGGACGAGAGAGTGGGCAGTCTCCCCCACGAAAGGAGTCATGTGGGTACCTCATCACAGAACTTCCTGTTGGGCACCTGGTGCATTCAGGGCATTGTCCATCAAGACTCTGACACTACCAGGTTAAGGACAATTTTGTTCCATTAGTAATATTCTCCTTATTCCATTGCTGCTCCACTCTGGAGGGTGGGGGGGCCCACAGGCAGAAAAGGAGAGAGGAAGAAAGAGTGAAAAGCAGATTTCTACTCCTCCCCACTCTAGGGCCCAAGGGTCTGGGCCTGGACACCACTGAAAGATAAGAGTACTGAACTGGGTGTGATTGCAACGTTTTAATCTGAATTAGAAAGAATTTATTATGGGCTTATAAATATTGGAAATTGAGTGGAAAGCAATAAGATCTGCTTAGAGTGTTATTAAAAGATGGGGAAGGGAGAGGCAATTGAGTGTTTGCCTGCTATAGTAGATATAATTGTAAAGCCATTTTATGTTTGTGGTGCACCAAGCTCAGACTGTCTCAAATCTAGCGACATGTACAATGAGCCAGGCTTCCAAATAGAGCAGCAAAAAGGATGAATATGATGACTACAGTTCCATTCCTTCATGCTTTTGCTGAATAATTTGAAGAATACTTCCCACCACCCTACCATACATTTTGAGAGAGCTCATTCATTTCTTAAAAAGCAAATGATAATGAATTAAACAATCATTCAGTAATTCTGAATGCATTCTTCAATTTCCCCTATTTAAGCTTTCATGAACGAAATAAATTTATCATTGATGAAATGCTCTTCAAAATGTGACCACTTGATTTCTACCTCAATATTCAGGGTCAGTATTTCAAAACACTAAAAAACTGTATAGCAGGATGGAGTCCATGATGGGTTGGAATGCATGCTATTCTGAGGGCGGAGTGCCAGCCCTGGAAATGTCCTCCTTTGCCTTGCATCGATCTTTTAGCTGCTGGATCATGAGGAGACTTTGGAGTCTGGGGAGGAGTTTCTAGGGAAAATAAACAGAGGGTTGCATGGGGGTTCAGGGCAATAGATATTTCCCAACCAGTATTAGACATTTCAGTGTTTTCACAGTTGGGATAGTGGAGTTGGTACATACCATCAGAAGATCAGCCCTACCAAGATAGTTGAGCACTGTACCTTAATCCTAAAATTCCAGTGAAATGTCCCAAAAAGCATTTTTGAAAGATGTAAATCAGATGGGATCAAATTAATGGGAAAACCAGATTGAAAAACAACCCAAAATACACACAGTAAAAGGTTGCCGGAGGGTTAAGAGCTGTTCTTTCCAATAGAGCCTGGGAGAAATTCTACGTCCCAGGAAGAGCAATCACAAAGCGTAAATGGAAGGAAATATTAAAAGCTATTGTAGGGGAAGTTTCTTCTGGGTGAAAGAAGGGTCTGAGGCTTCAAAATGAAAGTACAAAGAGGACAACTGGACCAAAAAAAAAACAAAAAACAAAACAAACAAAACAAAAAAACCGGGCAACAAATTCAGACAAGTATAAAAATAAAATCTTAAAAGTTCCTAAACAGGGGCCACAGGGAACAAGTTAGCTTCAGTTAAGGAATGGACATCATGCTGGCCTCACAGGGCTCCTCAGTGTACTTGTCCTAGAAGGCAATGGAGAAATTAATTAATTAATTTTTTTTTAAGATTTTATTTATCTGACAGAGAGAGAGACAGCTAGAGAGGGAACGCAAGCAGGGGGAGTGGGAGAGGGAGAAGCAGGCTTTCCTCTGAGCAGGGAGCCCGATGTGGGGCTCGATCCCAGGACCCTGGGACCATGACCTGAGCTGAAGGCAGACGCTTAACGACTGAGCCACTCAGGCGCCGCTAGAAGGCAATGGAGAAATTCATTTAAAGTTCTCAGGGATTTTCTCTTTTGAACCAGAATTCTAATTCTAGTTAAAATTATGATTGTAATTGAAGTCCTATAAGGTTCTTCAAAGCTAATCGAGAACCACAAATGTGTACGTGTGTGTATATATAGGAGCAGGCCGTGGTCTAAGGGAGGAGAGTTGAGGCAACCTTCAGAAAAGAGGGGTTGCGCTGGGACCACGTGTTGGAGGAGATGAGAAACATCAGTTCAGGTGCTGGAGCGCGGCCAGCCCTCTACAGGGATTCACGATATGCCAGCTGTCTGACTTTGAGCAGGTTACTTAAGCCACAGCCTGCCTGTAATAAAGGATGGCTTAATTTAGATTATTTTAAAGGTAACTTTCAGTTCTTCACAGTCTAATGTCAGGGTGGTAAGGGGAACATGGAAAAATACATTTCTGGTTTGGGAATTTTTCTGTCCCTTGAATTCAACAACCAAAGCCCTATGGTTAGAGAATGAGCCTATTTTCAGAAGACAGTTCAAATAAAATTCATTTTCATGATTGGTCACACTTGTATGCTACAAATTAACACATATGCATCTGCAGCATTGATAATGACAAGCACTGTGAGATCCCATATGGAATCTGAAAGAAAAATCAGATATGATCAAATTGATTGAAAAATCAGAGTCGAGAAAAACACAACCCAGAATGCACTTAATATAAGGTTGTGAAAGAGGTAAGAGCCATTCTTAACAATAGAGCTTGAGAGAAATTCTAAGACTATTATTTTCTTAATGAGACCATGAACATTCCATATAAACTCATTAAAATATTTCTATATTTAAAGGAATACACACTATTTATTCAATAAACATTTATTGATGACCCATTATTTCCAAGTATAGTGTAAGGCCCAGGTAGAGATATAAAGATGAACAAGAGGGACATTCTCCTTAGTAACGTGGTTTTTTTGAATGAACAAATATGTACAACAGATCATTAGAAAGCAGAAAGTAAAGTCATAGACATTGAAGACAGTGGTTCCTAAGAAAGGAGGACATATAGAAATGTTTCTACAATCTCTATTGTTTTAGTCTTTGTACATGGGAAACTAAAGAGAAACTTTACAAGCTACTGTTAAATACATGAGCATAACATTGGCAAACGTAATCATATTATTATTCATAATAATGAACTAATGATATCCGTGGAAGAAAGAAAATGAAATTTCTAATCTCAACAATGTTTAGGTGAAATGGAGTGATTCGTGTGGAGAAAAGGTGCAAAGGAGCCAAATGAATCAATAGTATAAAACAAGATCATGGTTGTGCATGATATGCAGGCCAATTCTGCCTTAGTAGTTAAGATGCAGTTTATCTGGCTAACCCTCCGTTCAGCCTCAGGGGGAAAAAGCCTTGTCCAGCAAAATACTATTTCCATAATGAAGAAGTATAGATCAGTGGAAAACTATAGATGAAAATGTTACACCATAGCAAATCAATTACTCCCTCCAGTGTCCCCATCTCCTCAAAGACCTTCGCACTTTTCTTTATGATGCTCATAGTTTTCTTTGGTAGAAACCGGTATAAAAACCTTGTGTTCCAAATCGCTCCCAAGGACTTGAATGCAGAGAGGCTGGGCCACATTCTCCTCTGTGAGGGAGGACTGTACTTACCCTCTGACTGCCTGGCTATGAGCCAGGTTCTACTGTTTAACAAATACACCGCTTTGGTGTGCGACTCACCTCCTTATGCTTCAGGCTCCTCACTTATGAAAGAGGAGTCATAATATTCCTCCTCTTACAGGGTTGTTGTGAAGGTGAAGGGAGTTAGTGCAGGTAAGGGGTCCCATGCACAGAATGAGGGTGCCGTGAACTAGATAAATCATTATGAGGTTGAAATGGGTTTTATCGTTACATCCTTCCAGTTCCAGAGCTCACATATTGCATACCAGAAGCACTCTATACATGTTCATGGAAGCAAAGGCCCACACAACCAGAATAAGGTCACAGAAGAGAATAATGAGGGAAGGAGCTGGTTTCTTTAAAGTGAAAGTTTCACACACGTATAAAAGTACAATAGTATGTTGGTCTAGAAAGAAGTGGTAAAAATTAAATTTTTTGTCTAATTTTGAAAGGCTACTAAAAAAGAAAAGACAGTGTAAATGTATTAAAGGAGATGTTGAAAGTGCCAATTTGAACCAGAAGCTTTATGAGAGTCACCAGATTTCTTAAACACTTTGGTTTTAGCTTCTTTATCTTTAAAATGACACAGGGGCGCCTAGGTGGCTCAGTCAGTTAAGGGGTTGAATTCAGGATTCTGATCTCAGAATCCTGGGATCAAGGCCCACATCGGGCTCCCTGCTCAGCGGGGA